ACTAAAAAGAAATCGGTTCAATTTTTGAATTATTTGACTTTTTTTTTTTAGTCAAAGCCAAACTAAACCAAAATTCATTGATTAATTTTCGTTTTGATAAGTTCGATGCCCTCCCCTAATTTGTGTGTTGGAAAAAACATTTACAAGATAGTTCATATGAGGTTAGAACCAGTGTTGGGATTGAAAATTTTGACTAGTACAAGATATTTTGATATTGTAATTTTCAAGTCCCGATCATCCCTAAACCAAATGGTTTCGGTTTGGTACAATACCATTTTGGTGTATTCATACCATACCCTCTTCAAAGTGAGAATGATTTATATGGAATGAGTTTACTGTAACGTGATGTCTTTTGTCCAATAAGGCATTGCTATATGTAATTTTTTTTGCACATGACAGTAGGGGTGGGCATTCTCATGGGTCACCCGACCAACCCAACCGACCCATCTGTAATTCTCTGGGTTGGGTTTTGTCTTTAAAGTTTTGATTTTCGGGTCATAACCCGCCCACCCGTGTGAAACAAGCGTGGAATTTGGTTTATTAATTCTCAGACCCATCGGTACCCGACCCACCCGCAAGTACTTAGCACCTCAGTTTACAACCAGCTTCTTCATCCTATAATCACATGCAATCTCGCATTAGAAGTATGCACAGTGCTTCCATGATTTTTGTTGCTCAATTCATTGATTATCAAATCAAATCCATCTCTTTCTCCCTATTACCGCCAGCAAAAGGGCCAAATTTAGATTAATCTTACATGTTGCCATATTTAATATAATCTCTCAAACTCTCTCTTAATTCCTCTCTATGTTGCCGCCGTCCATGTCCGATGTCATTACCCACAAACCATGAAACTACCAGACAGATTGCACAACCCAATAAACCGTCCAACCCACCCACATATTGACAAGTTGGCAGGCTCGGTCTCTTTCGTCTGTCGGCCGAAAACGGTTTGAAGAAACTAGCACTTCGGATCGGTCAACGGCTAAAGGCCCAACCCGCACCGCTCCGACCGATGCCCAGCTCTACATGACAATAAACTCGTTTCAATTCTTAAGCCCTACTACTACTAAACGACGAAGTTGGTACATAAACATGGGATCAAAGGAACATATTACCAATTTAACTTTAATTTTTCCCCTTGGCACGCTCTGTTTCTGACTCAAGCATATTCACAAGAATCCCGTAGAAGTTGCTTTCTCGTCAGAACTGTGCAGCTGTGGGAGAATGGCTATTTGAAGGCTTTTCTGATTTTTCCTAGTGGCGTGCGATATATGCTTGGAAAGATAAGACATAAAGCTAAGCTTCTCATATATTTTTACATAATTTTCCAGAAGATAAATTGACCCCAAAATTGGCGTGCAAATCAGATGACGTCCTTCGTAGTTTGTTTTATTAATTGTTTAGGAGTTTGTTTTATGGAAAAATTAGGATCCAGTCTTTAGTCACCAATTTCATAGACTGAAACCTTATTAGTTTTTAGTTTTTTATAAAAGTATTTTGACTTTGTACACCTCAGCATTATACTAATAACACACTTCCATGTCATTTTTTTATATTTTGTTTTTACAACAAATTTTAATTTATAATTTCTCCCAAATTGATTATCACATTCAAAAGGTTGAATGACATTTGTAGCTGAAAATCTCAAAATTCTCACTTAAATTTATGTTTATATTCAAATTCAACATTATTACATCGAATATGTATCTCCAAAATTAAATTTTGCCAAAAAAAATTCAAACTTATTTTTCCTTCATGACCATTATATTGCAAAACCATAACAAATGACCATTATATTGCAAAACCATAACTAATGGCATTATATTGCTATGAACGCAATTTTAATTTCATTGGGCACGTATGATTTTAATGTTGAAATTGTATATAGGTACGTTCTTGTGGATTACTATAATTATACATGGGTACATTCTTATGGGAACATTTATCTTTTATCATGACATTTTACCTTATTAATTTACAACTACTATTTTCATTCAATAAAAAAAAAAAACAATTCTTTTCATAACTTATTTTCCACAATTTAATCACCAATTTTTCATTGGTTTAAGGTTTCCTAAGGGTGGATTTTGTTGTTTAATTATAACATCTCACATCGTCCAAGGGACTCCGATGTTAAACGAGGCCTTTTGGGAGCTCACTGACTTCGGGTTCGTAGGAACTCCGAAGTTAAACGAATTCGTAGCGAGATCAATCTCAGGATGGGTGACCCACTGGGAAGTTCTCGTCTGAATTCCCAGAAACAAAACCATGAGGGCGTAGTCGAGACTCAAAGCGGACAATATCGTGCTACAGTGGAGTCGAGCTCAGAATGTACTGGGGTCCCGCATCGGGATGTGACATTAATCCGATAAAGGTTAAAGTTCAAATCTTATGGGATTTTATATCCCGTAAAATGTGGTAATTTATTTATTTAATTGCTTTAAATGTTCCGATAAAAAAAAATGCTTTAAAAGATGTCTATATTACAATATTTAAAATCCCACAAATGTGATCAGTCTTTACAATATTTAAATATCTATGGCCAACTTCCCATCATGCGTGATGGACGGGAAGTTGGCCGCCGGGAAGATATATGATGGTAGGTGTTTGTAGCATTTAACCTAGTTTATTTCTACCAGTTGGAGTTTATCTTTTGTACTATTTAAGAGGTTGAATGCTTGGACATGAATTTTTAGCCTTAATTTATGGTAGTCTAAAAATTTTGATGATTTACATGAAGTTTGTTGGGATATGGATGGAGCATTATATGTAAATAAATAATGTCATTTAAAGGATTTAACGGGATTTTGGTACATATCTATCCGTCATTGGCAGTTAAGGAATAACCTTCTTTACTTTGAAAACCTAATGGCTTGTTTGCTACCTTTAAAATGATTGAAACTGCTTTTAGAAAAAAAATGTTTTTGGGTTCTAAAATTATTTGAAGTGCTTCTTATAAAAAAACACATAATTGAAGATTTGTTCCATTTTAACAAAAAAGGCTTTCAATCATTTAACAGCACTTTCAAACGAGACCTAAGCTATGTTAATTTTTTTTTTTGGTCGTTCACCAATTTATAGTGTTCAGCCTCCCCACTCCATTATTTGTCGGAGAACAAGTTTGATTTAGGTAAATATTATCGCTCCATTTTATTCATCTACTACTTTCTTGCTTTCTACACCTACTAGCCTCTCTGCACGCACTAACGTGCGTGCGAGAGACATTTTTGCATCACGGGCGCTACGCGCCCCAAAGATGTGTTGTTTTAGATATTCTTATATTTCTTAAGTGATTATTTTATAAAATGTGTTTGTGTCCATCACAACAATTTCTTATTATTTTCAATTTTTTATTATGTTCAATCATCTAACTTAGTCTTTTTGCACCTGCCCATTGTACCCAAAAATGAAATTTATGAATTGTACACTAACCAATCCACCTTTTTTTTCTTTTTTTTTTTTTGCTTGCTAATTATTATGGTGTCTTTTTTTTTTTGTTTGGCTGATAGAATTTGATTTCACGAAATGAGCTATGCTTGATCATTATTATGACTTTGGTAATTAAGTTACTCAGTCTAGTTAGAATTTTGTTATCTCCATCAGTACCATTTTACCCTTATATATTGTACAGAAGAAGATCAAGAGTTAGGTTCCTTAAACTCTCATATAAAAAATAAAAACATATGCTTAATTATTTAATGTTGTATAGAAAATATGAAATGATCAATATATTTTGTAACATGAGGATTAGTGGCTGTATTAAAAGGGTGCACAACAACATTTTTTTATTATGGTGGACAAAAAGGTATTATGGGCAATATTTGGCGTCATTCGAGCAGGTTGGCAGATCATTTGTTCAATGGTTGTGTGAATGGGATAGTTGATGCAGTTAGAGGAGTGAGTACATAATTATGGGTGTGCCATTTTGGGTTGGGACTGAGATGTTCAACATTAGAGCATGGGCCAGGCTACGTAGTTCCAATTGCTTGAGTTGAAGAAAGGTTGATGAGATAATGGTGTTACCGTACAATCATCCCACCATTCCAAAGTGATAATGGTGTTATCGCATGCCATATTGTCATATTGCCACATTTGTTGAATAATTTAGGAGCATATATTCCATCCAATTTGCACATATGTGAGTAATCTCTCATACATTTTTTACTATTTTTTCTTTAAAACAACAACGAAGATAAAATGGGAAACATATACTATTTATAAATTAAAAAATTTGAAAATATGACATGTAATTTGATTTCTAAATACATATTGACAACACTTAATGTCCTTAAATCAAAATGTTTCAGATTCATAAGTTTTCAATCAAAGTTATAGGCTAGCTAGGGATGAACTCCTAATATATGAAGCAAAGCAAAATATGGACAACATGTACATATGTAAACATAGCGCCTACATGTGAAATCAAAGCCATGCTTGCCACCCATTTGCTTGCACTTGATGCTTTAGATTTTCATGGTTAATCTACAAGCAATGATGATAAAATAAGAAGTCTAACTATAATGCACAATCCCAACTATAAAGATTGTAAGCAACTTAACCTAAATACCTTTAAGTTTGACAATTTTCTCATGGCAATACTTTTACTCCAGTTACTTGTAGAATACTGAAAGATAAATATATTTGTCAAGTTTGAGGTAACAAATTGTAACAATATTTACAAAATTAAATAATAAGAAATATTACCTTAATCTTGTACTTCAACCTTTGTACTTTGAGACGGGTGTGATGCTTGTAAAACTGACAAAAAATGCAATTTTATTTATATTTGAAAATTGAATGCAATTTGAATTTATAGTATACTTTTGTATGAAAATAAGAGAAGACTTACCGTATTTAGAAAAGTTGTTTGGCCACTGTTAATCTTTTTTCTGCACCCATAAATTGTTTTATTTTATTTTATAATTTGAGATAATTAATTTGTAGAATGATATAGAGAATGCCATTAAAAATAAATAGGTAAGAAATGGTGTTGTACATTATTTGTTGGACTTTATTCCAAATACGTATGATCTGAGGAGTTGTTGAAGGTTTTAATTCTTCCACAGCCTTTTTCATGCGCCACCTATATATTGAAGGTATATATAATGTTAGATTTCTTGTAACAAATTTGTATATAATTTAGGATACATACTGCTCATGCTTCTTCTTTTTCCACTCTTTGAGAATCAGTTGGCTTAGATCAGTAGTTTTTACTCCGACAGATATCTCCCAACCAGGTGTAAAAATAGAGACACGTCTGTTTGAGATCTTATCAATATGTTCCTTCTTCATTTTTTGTGGGTATTCTTGTAAATATCCTAAGAATGAAAACAAATAATTTTTAAAATTACCATAGTACACGTATAGCACATTAAGATAATCAAAAGTGAAACTCATAATCTGACCGAAATTTTAAAAAACACACAATGAAGATTTCAAAGGAAGAAGTTAAAAGAACCCACACAACACCAGATCGCATTTATCTCCACCGCCAACATCGAATACAGATAATAACTTACTTAAATATTACGATCGGGAGAGAGAGGAGCAACGGCCAGGAGACTGGGCTCCTGAAAGTGGGCGTCCGGGATCGAATGTGTGAAGAAGGATGGGTTCCAAGCGCGTCCCGGAGTCTGCTTTCATAAATTGGCCTCTTTTCGATTATTAATTTGTATGCAGTGGTGGTATGTGGGTAGTTACTGTGCAACCTTCAACTGAACTCAGATCGTGGGAATCATAAACTGCTCTCTAGTTTTGAACATCCTTTTCATTTTACGCTTAGAAATTTTTTCATTGGCTGAGCATATGAAAGGTATTGAAGTGAAATTTGTAAACTGCAAGTAACTGAATATGGGGAGTTACTGCTTGGTACTGGGTGGAAATTTTGATCTAACGGAAGTTGAAATTGATTAAATAAAAGAAATTCAAGGAGAGAAGAATGATAGGATAAGTAGGATTCTCCCACGTTGGTTGGTTTCTTATTTTTTAATATATTTTTGTGAGATATTAATATCTCTCCCTCCTAAAATAGAGGAGGCACGGGCCTTTATTTTTTTTCCAAATAAAACAAAATTTGAATTTATTTGAATGAGGTATCTAGAGAGGATCCTCAACCTTATAAACATGGTGTTTTTAATTATTTTAATGTTTTTTATTGATTTTTTTTATTATTAAGGGAGAAAATCATCCGGAATTATAGGTGGCAAGTGCAACGTGCAAATGGAGTGGAGTGAAATTCATCCGGTTTTAACCGTTTGTATTTACCATTTGTCTCTTTTTCCGCAAAACTTCTTCTCTTTACAGCTTAACCCACGTGGTTTTAATCCATTTTTTTATTATTATTTCAGTTTTTTATGACAAAATTACCCTTGCGAATTTGTTTCTACTATTTTCAGCCAGTTTTGATTTTTTTGGTTCGGGGGGCTTTTTTGTCCAAAACTTTTTGGTGAAGCCTTGAGACACCAAACTCTCATTCTTGCTTTCTAACTGCTCTCCATAACTGCTAACTTTTAGAGGATAATTATCATGATTTTTTTAATTACCATATTTTGTTTCCAATACAGTTTCTGATAATTTAAATTCTTTTTTACGTTTTTGTCCTCAATTTTGGGATTTTTTGGACTTTGATTGTGAAGGAAACAAAGGGACTTTTTTGGTATTTCTAAATGCTTCACCAAACTGGCCTTCTCCCTTTATATATATAGATGTCCAATGTCAGATCAAGACTAACAAACATGTTCAAAGAAAAGGGGCAAATTATTAAGGTACCGTAATAACAATAAAGAGAAACTTTTGAGTTTCGTTTTTCCAAAATCCCATCACAGCCCATAAGAAAAATATAAATTAAGCAATAGATTCCGGGGAATTACCTTTAAAAATGGCCATATGATGCTCCGCCTTCCTGCAATACACTTTGTACGGGAAAAAGCAGGAAAAAGACTGGGAAAAACTGGGGATAATGGATTAATAGAAACTATCCCAGAATATGAAATTAAAATGCAAAATAAAAAGAGAGATAGAAGTTAAAAGCCAAAGAAGGCAAAAAGGAAGAAAAGGGTGGAAGCAAATACCTCAGACACTGAGGATTAGAGACTGACGATCAATTAAAGGTGAAATCAAATGGCAACTGCTCATAGCAGTTTGAAATCTAATGCCACGTTCATACTTTATTGTCTTTTGCATTAAGTCTGACATATGATGGTAAAATGATGCATGAAAATTACTTTAGTACTGGAAATATAAAAACTACTATATAAAACAATGAATAATTTGTAATAAAAGATAAAAACGAAAACAAAAAATTAACCATTTCCAAAGCCTCCCCAAGGCAAAAACAGAATGGCAATATTGATTACAAAGAAAACAAATTTCAAACCTTGTTCATTGTTTGTTCCACGATTATGAAAATTCCAGCAATTGATTGATGGTAGAAGAACTTCGATTCAATAATCCTGTGAAAATGCATGAGAAGATTAACATTAAGGAATAAGGAGCAGAGAACAAAACACAAAAGATTAACCACAAAAGAAATTTTATTACCGACTTTCTCAAAGGACCAGTTCTTGTTGGTTTTTTTCCAATTTCATCTTCTCCAGCAAAACAATTTCAATTTGTTCTCTTCAGATTCTCTCTTTTATTTTGTGTTTTATTTAGCTCTTCCCGCAAAACTGCACATTGAGATGTAAATCAAAGAAGTCTTGCTTCAGTGTGAATAATGTACTTTATTCTCCAGCAAAACAATGTCAATATGTTCGCTTCAGTTGTGATTCACCCACAGAATAACCAGAGAGAAATAAACACCCAATCCTTGTTCATAAAGTTGCAAGATCAGAAAACATAACTATGTGCTCATCTTAGAACCAAATTGTGTGACCCATTGAAAACAACAAAAAGAATGAAAAGAGTGTAGTGTTCCAACAACTGCATGGAATTAGAGAAGAGCAAACCTGAGCGAGCAATGGCTTTAGTACCATCTTCTCTTCCTGCAAGACTTTTCAGATTTTTCTTTTCACGTTCTTATTTTGTGTCCTTCTATATATCTCTCATCCACCAAAACTGCTCCTTTTTGCACGATTAGGGTGTTTCTTTTCCTCCTCAACCCACTCTGCACGTTCACGTTTATCTGACTTTTTTTTTTTTTAATTTTTCAATAAAACACAACTAATATTTCTAACACACTCACCACTGTTGAACGCAATATTATTTCTGCATTTATCTTCTGGTACGTGGGTTCTTGGTAGTTTTTGTTTCTACGGTTGTTCATGGTTCTCTCTGAATTTGGAACTGATGACACCATTTTGAACGTCCTTTTCATTTTACGCTTAGAAATTTTTCCCTTGGCTGAGCATATGAAAGGTATTGAAGTGAAATTTGTAAACTGCAAGTAACTGAATATGGGGAGTTACTGCTTGGTAGAGGGTGAAATTTTTGATCTAACGGAAGTTGAAATTGATTAAATAAAAGAAATTCAAGGAGAGAAGAATGATAGGATAAGACGGATTCTCCCACGTTGGTTGGTTTCTTATTTTTTAATATATTTTTGTGAGATATTAATATCTCTCCCTCCTAAAATAGAGGAGGCACGGGCCTTTATTTTTTTCCAAATAAAACAAAATTTGAATTTATTTGAATGAGGTATCTGGAGAGGATCCTCAATCTTATAACGTGGTGTTTTTAATTATTTTAATGTTTTTTTATTGATTTTTTTATTATTAAGAGAGAAAATCATCCGGAATTATAGGTGGCAAGTGCATCGTGCAAAATGGAGTGGAGTGAAATTCATCCGGTTTTAACTGTTTGTATTTACCATTTGTCTCTTTTTCCGCAAAACTTCTTCTCTTTACAGCTTAACCCACGTGGTTTTAATCCTTTTTTTTTATTATTATTTCAGTTTTTTTTATGACAAATTACCCTTGCGAATTTGTTTCTACTATTTTCGATTTTTTTTGTTTGGAGGGTTTTTTTGTCCAAAACTTTTTGGTGAAGTCTTGAGATACCAAACTCTCATTCTTGCTTTCTAATTGCTCTCCATAACTGTTAACTTTTAGAGGATAATTATCATGATTTTTTTAATTACCATATTTTGTTTCCAATACAGTTTCTGATAAGTTAAATTCTTTTTTACGTTTTTGTCCTTCTTTTTTGAATTTTTGGGGTTTTGATTGTGAAAGAAACAAAGGGACAATTTTGGTATTTTGGAAAGCTTCACCATTTTAGAGCTCTCACTTTATATATATAGATGATCGAACAAATCAAATCAGAATCAAAACACTAACACGAAGAGGAGTGCAAAACGGAAAAGGAGTATGCGAACATCGTTTTTGCTCATGTCGGTGTTCAATTGGGAGTTTAAGCTCACAATTTTTTCACAAATGGAATGATATTGACGCATTTATTCATTAGTGTTACAAGACTGGTTCATATGATCACATAATATGTAATAAATTTATTTAAATTTATTTAAATATCCTTCCAACAATGTGAAGAAAACCAAAAACACGTATGCTACACTAAGTATCATAATACAATTGATTGTAATTCTTTTTTCAAGTTTTCAATCAATCATATTATTTCACTTTGTATAACAGACCGTGTGTCAGCATCCTAAAAATTCTCTCCAACAATTGAACAACTCTATCAACTCCACACAGAATATTTTTCATCTAACGGTCTAATTTCTTTCTAATAATTCAATCTCAACGACATGAACTTGCTGACCCTCCTCGGGCAAATGATCCAATCTCAAAATCACCAACCCAAACGACGAGTCGTACTCAAAATCCACCACATTAGACCCGACCCGACACTTCTTGGGCTTGGCAGAAGAGTACGCGCCAAATTTGCCGCAGCCCTTAACCTCCAATCGGACTATGGCGTTCTGTTCATATCGCAACCCTACAATTGCTCCGCCTGCATTGTACATCTCCACCAGTCCAATTGGCGCGAAACTCAATCTGCCGCCCAAAATCCTGATCGGAGTCACCGTGAAAACCTCGTGCTCCAGCACTTTGAGCGAAATCGGCATCGACGCATTGTAAGGCAGAGTCACCAGCTCTCCCATCCGGTGACTGTACACGGCGCAGTCGCCTTTCCAGTCGTTGTCCACGGCAGCCTCCGCGATCAGGTGGACGTCGCGGCCGCGAATCAGACCCGTGATGGCCTCGGATTTGGTTTCGTGGAACGTGTTCTTCCGTTCCGCGGTGCTCCACGCCGCGCCTTGGCAGTTGTAGACGCCGAGGACTCCGGTGTACTTGTTCATGTTCCATATCTTCAGCAAGCTCACGCCGTCGCGGGCCGGGTCAGAGAACAGGCAGTCTTTCGTCGGGCGTCCGGGCAATCGGGCCCGAAGCACCGACCCGTCCGGCAACACCAGCTTCCTCAGCAGCTCGAAATTGTGCTTCCCAGGCGCGTCACTGTAAAAACCAATTAATTAATTACTAATTACAAAACAAATTAACGTACAAAATTCGAAATTAGAAGAGATAAATCACTAATTACCTGACATAGATGGGCCCACCGCTGATGGCCCTGGCGGAAGCGTGGTACTCAGCCGCCGGATGCTGCGAGTGGAACATGTCCCAGTCCGGCAGCATAAACTCGCCGAGAAATACGCTGTTGTAAGCAACCGCCGCAATGTGGATCGTGTGCGACACCGGGTCGCGGGGGTAGAAATCGTCGGACGCCCTCACGACGGCGGTCTGTTTGGAGCAGTAGAGCGCGTCAGTATTGTGGCTCATGCACGCGATGCAGCCGTTGTCCGGGAAATTCCTCGCCACCGAGGCGTCCAGCGCCTGGTGGTACTTCTGGGTCAACTCGACCCGACCGCCTAACCCGGCTCCGAGAGTTTCCAGTATGCACTGCACGTCCACCTTAACGCCGTCAATACCCGCAGAGCTCAAGTAGCTGTGCAATTCGTTGTAGAATTTGTACACGCTCTTTGGATCCACCAGGCCCAACCCTCGCACCGCCATCGCGTCCGTCTTCCACGTCGGTTCGTTCGCCACAACCCCGCTGCAAACGTTCGGGTACTTTAACAAGGATCCGAATTCCTCCATTTCTTTCATTCCGGGTCTGACCCCGCCCCAGTAGCCAGTAATCGCGTGCCACACGTACACATACTTCAACCCGTGCTTTTGCTTCGCGATGTTGACGATGTTCTTAATCCCCACTGTCGGATAGTCCTTCTTCTGAAACTTTGAATTTTCTTTGATCCCGGTCAGCCTTAGCGGCTCCTGCTTTTCGACGCCGTCGTCGCCGCCTACAGACTGCCACCCATCGTCGATGATAACGAACTTCGGAGGTGTTCCACCGGCGGCTAAAGACTCGAGCCCGGCCTCCACGTCCTCCTGAGTCACGTCCCGGTAAAACGCGTCCCAGGTGCACCACCCGAAATAATCAACGATTCCGGGGAGTTTCTTCTCGTGACGTTGACGAAACGTCTGAAGGTGAACTTTGACGGACCTGATGGCTTCCGTTATCGTACCGAACGGGTCCGTCCCGGCGTGGACGTGCAGTGCGTGGGAAAACGATGACGCTTTGGTGTCGGCGTCGCCGCTCTCCAAACAGAGCTCGAGCTCGTCACGCGCGTTGCCCTGCAGGCAACCGCGGAACGAGCCTTCGATGAGAGGGAGGAACACGGTGTAGACGATCTGGTTCTCTTCGTCTCCGCCGTCCGATTCCAGGTGGGACCCGTGCTTGGTCTCGACCAATAGGAATTGAGTCTCAAGAGGAATGTCCCTTCCCTGATCTCCCATCTTCTGGGCCATCCACCACAGCTTGAACCGGAAGCACGCCATGAACCGGACTCCGGTAAGCGTCCCTAACGGAACCACGTGCCGGCTTTTCTCCTCCGAGAAATTCGCGCCGAGGAAGACCCCATCGACCGGACCGGAAGACGAGCCGGACGTGGCCACTACATTGTCAGGCAATCCCGTCAGAATCGTCCGGTCCTTCACGATCAGCTTCCGTTCCGAGATTCGAACCGCCGGTTTGATCGTCATCTCTCTTTCTTCTCTCTACAATTTCACAGAAAACAGATTCAAAATCTCCACTTCGAAATTTAGAATTAAATCGAACACAGCAAGCACTAATAAGCCAATTAATCACCTGAAAAGCCAAAATCGAAGACGCCCGATTCCGAGAAGATCTGGAAATTCCACAACCCGAACAGAAAAACAAAAAAGCAATCAGCTTCGTCAGTAAGGATCTTCAAGCTAATTATTTTCTCGGAAACCAAACACTAATTGTTTTCTCAGAAAACAAACAGATTGAAGACAGAGAAAGAAGAGAATAGTACCAGAAGTAGTAGCGGGACGAGAAATTACAGAGCGCTTGAGAAAGTACAAGTTGTTTGGGTTCGGAAGATTGAATCTTGCAGTAGGAGAATGCTTGGGATAATTTGATTTGGGTAAATGAAAATTGGGGCTGGTATTTATAATGCGAGATAGAGAACTGCTACACGAATTTGACACCATTGCTTGCGAGCTTCGACCTCTCTCTCGCTCTGAGATTAATCTACTAGTTTATTCTTCTCGGCCCACAAGTGCTCAAACAGCTTATCCATCCAACGGCGATGGAATGTCGTATTAGGTTGGACCGTTGAAATGGTCGATGGGTTGGAATTCCACGTCGGATCCACGTCCGACCAATCCTAATACTCGGATTACAACGCGACAACAGTTGGCTCCTCCTATCCAAATTCACCGGAGGGATTTTTTATATCTAGATATCATTACGTCGTTACGGACTAATAATATTTTTGCTGATCATCGCATTGATGAACAACGCGTTAATGTCACAAATTGTAATTACAATTACACAAAATAATCTTCCCAGAAATTGTGACATGCCACTTGTTTTTTTATATAATTTACTACCATTATGATATGAGTGAATGACATATGGTTGTTTAGGTATGTGATATTCGGTCCCCTTGGTAGTAATACATATACATGGTTGAAATTGATTACGGATCCATGAAATATTATTGGGGGGAGGTCAGTAAGAATAGCACGCGCAATACAAATTGTTTTGGATGAAATAGCATGCAAATTGGGATTTCATCAAACCTTGATAGGCTTGAGGTCATTTACACAGTCATATTTCATATCTATCTACATATGTCAACAGTTTCTGAGCGAGCATGTCAACTAATCAATAGCTTTTAAATTAACAAACTAAATGAACCTATCCACATATGCCCAAAGTAATGCATGCAAAGGTACGAGACTAGCAGCTACTATATCTATGCTCATAGAAACAATTCATCAATGTGGAGGGCAGCTTTCTTAGAAGATTTCTGAGCTTGGTGGACTAGAGCCCAATACCCAATCCTTTTTTTATTAGTTTATCAACTGTGCTGATCTGTGTCCACGTACTCACTACATTTACACGCCCAAGATAAAAAAACCGCGTTACTTTCGTTACAATCATCACACGTGGAGGCCTACTATTTACTGTCTAGGATAAAATTAAAATTGAACTTTTGTTTGTATTATTTTAAGTGACAATTATGATCATTGCGTTAAGAAATTTGATTATTTGATAATGGTCCATTATTATCAATCGTTGATCTTCCACGTTTGCATAAGGATAAGACCTACTGTTCCACTAGCTAGGTCAGACAATTTGTTACACAATTCATTAACTTGATACGAAATAACATAAAAATAACGAATTTTGGATCAATCTATTAGCAAGTCGGATTGTTATTGGATAACCAGTTATCAATCCATTAACGAGTCGATTCATTATTAGGTCACCTATTAAGAACCAAATACTATATCTTTTGTCAGACCTAGACATCAATTATGACAATTTCTTACATAATTCGTTAATTCAACACGAAACCACATGATTTGTTAACCAATCGGATCGTTATTGGATCACCTATTAAAAATCCTTTAAGATAACAAATTTAACATAACATAACCCGTTAAGATAACAAATAAGACACAAAACGACATAAACATACTATGATTGTGTGAGCGGAAGAAAAACTTATCTAGAATGAGAACAACGCATTTTGATTTTCAATCTATTATTGATTCGTGTCGTAATATAATAACGTTCACGTTACGTAAAAGTTATTCTCAGAAGCTTTCTTCGGTTGATTTGGAAACCAATAATTTGGATGAGAAGTTGGCACGTGGAATGGTTGTGATGGACTCCAAGTTGTGTGTTGGTGAATTCTTGGAAGGAAAACAATAATTTGGGATATTATCTGCACATGTATAATAGTATAAATTGAAAATTTAATATTTATACGTAACCAAATTATATATTGAAAGAGAAAAGAAAATGATTGAGTCTGACGTGGGTCCTTTGAGTCGAGCTATGAAAATGAGATGTGAGGTTGGCAGCGTCAGTTTGATGTGGGTGGCACTTTGCTTTATCTTCTAATATTTCTTCAAAATTATTAAGTAGTTCAAAAAATAAACGGTAAAGATTGATTTTAAAAAATTCAGCGTTATAGATCGTTTAAAAAGTTGAAATACTTAGTAGGATCTACACCGAAATATTCAGTAAAAACGTATTTCCGTATAAATATTTAATAGCTTTCAAGTTTGGCATGACAAAAAAGTCATATTTGTTGTGTTCGTGTCATATTCGTTATTTTAATAGATTCTTAACACGTGACCTGCTAATGCTTCGATTTGTTAATCGGTCATGTCATTTCGTGTCGGAATAACGAGTTATGCAAAAAATTGTCATACCTAATGTTTAAATTTGGAAAATGACATCTTATCGGATTTTTAATAGATGACTTGATAAAGACCCAAATCGTTAACGCGTTGATCTAAAAATCTGTTATTTTCATATTGTTTCGTGTCACATTGATGAATTCGTACAAGAGATTTACCATACCTATTTCAAGTTATACTTCTGTTGAAAATTTCAATTTTATCTACATTCTATCAAAATTGACAACATTTCCAATATGTTCATGAAGATTCCTCAAAATTCAAAACTCAAACCAGCAACAAAATTATCCAGGTGGATCACTCTCCATAATCCAACATCATCACATGATTATTCAATGAACGACATTAATCAGATTGTCATTAATCAAACTTTCCACCTCCATCTTTGTTGGCTTCCCCTGCAATTTTGCACACGTATATAATTTGGCTCATCCGTACTCCTCCTCCTCTTGGCTTATTGGCTCAAAAGTAGAAGAACCAAAACACGTTATTTAATTAAATTATAATTGTTCGTTCGTGAAAAATGATGTGCAAAGAAAAATAATAGTTTCAGTGGGTAAAATCTCCGGTAATTTCGGTATCCTCGTCAGGTACACGTAACGTAACTGACCAATATTTGTCCTGTACCAACACGATAAAATCTTATAGGCAATGATTTCTTTTAAGCAAATTGTGAAACATGTTTGTCCCGTGCATCACATCTGCCGAGGTGACGAAAAATATGTTTAGGAATGTCTAGGTGCATGCATGACTAAAAGTCCAACACAGTGGTATAGCCGTGGTGATAGTGATGATGGTGGTGGACGATTAGAAGTCCAGCGGCAGTCTAGATGAAATGGGAGCGGTCATTGGCGGATTCATATAGGGACTCCGGGAGTTCTGGGACTTTTCGAAAGCCTGATGAAATACTTGTGATTGATCTTCGGGACCCTTTAACAATTTGGGCAGGTGCAATGGAGAGGCCTTTTGTCTCCATGGATGTTCAGATAGCAATGCTTATAAGTTATAACAAAGAAAAAGAGGTTTTTAATTTTTGTTTTAAAAGGCCTAGCTAAAACAACAACGTTTTTGAGCTGTCATTATAAAAAATTTAAAAACTAAATATCTCTATTTTCTCTACAGAGCACGAGAATTTCGGTCTTTTCTAGTATCCCAAAATTATATTTAAGAACTCTTAGCCCCAATCGTAACTTTAAACCCAAGTTACCCTATTCCCCACCACCATTTGCCGTTCTACCGCCTTTAGTTGCCTAATTTTATTTTTTCCAAATTCATATAAGTTTTTTAATCCTAAACTCTAATCACAACTCCCAATTAATAATATATTTGTTACATTAACAAATTTTATCTTTGTGGAGTCACTAACTGCATTATGTTGTTGAGAAAATTTTGTTGGTTTTATTATCTTGAGATTAATCCTAATTTATTCAATGAACCAAATTCAATAGAAAATAGTGATATAGAACCAAATTAGTCTTTTTTTTTTTTTTTTTGACTTTTATATTGAGACCCCCCCCCCCCCCCCCCCCCCCCCCCGATCTTGAAATCTTGAATCTGCCACTGGGAGTGATGGTGATGATGATGATGCAGCAACTAGCATGACTTCAACCTTTGGGTGTTTCATACACTCTTGTTAATTTGTGTCTATAAACTTATTCAATTCATATGATCTGATCTGAGACCCAAAAATTAATTAAGGGATCGATCAAATTCAATGAAAGAGTTAATACTACTTCAAGATCACATTGAAATTCATAAAGGGATCAATCGATCTTGTTTCCAAGTGTGAACAACCTAATTTATACCTTCTTCTCTTTGTGTGTACCTCAAAAACATGTCACGTGATGTAATTAAATACATGCGTTACAATTGATTAAAACTATTTTATCACACTGACAATGTTCAGAGTACACCCAAAAAAACTCTCCGTTGGCAGGCTACGTTAGGTTACATTCATCAAAGATTTTCACCATATCTCATCCATGGATTCCATGATGTATCAAATTTGGGCAACATGTATGTATGCCACTTTGTTCAACCTCAGAGTCGCTAACTTGCTTGCAATTACATGAATTCAGAGAACTTGTCTAATGGCCGATTTCATCAATCTTCGTCCAAGATTTCAGAGATTTGCCATCGTAGTCGATTTCATACAATGTAAAGCGAGTTACGCGGAAGGTCGAGCTAGTAATGCTCTCATCCAGAATATCAACCATTTCCCGAGCTTTTTTCCTCTCTTCTTCTTCCGTCAACTTCGCGTAGGGGGGGCTCAAATATGGCATAGAACCTGCATCCATCAAATATTGCAGACAGACAGATTACATATGAACGAGCATTCCCGTAAACAACAAGAAGAAATTAAGAAGGAAGCTTTCGTGGAAAAAATAAATAAATAAATAAACAGCTCAAAGGTTAATGTAAACAGCAACTTACTGTTTACAGGGAAACGCACCAAACTCTGACCGGATGCCTTCCATCACCTTCTTGATTCTATGGGAAACATCACCCGGTTGAATGGCCCAAAAGGAATATGTGCACCGCCTCCTGCAGCTTTCCCTCTTCCCGTCTACCACCACCATCTCATCTTCGCCTTTGTCTGAGCAATTATTCTCTATGCTCTCAGGCTTGTGGTTGTGTCCCATGACCGAAACTATGCCATTCACGTAACCAACAAAGGCACCTCGTGTTTCAGCGGGAGTACATGTAAGCTTTTTAATACAAAGATTAAAGCAAACTACGCGTCCATCATTGTGAACCATAAGAAACTGATTCATTCCACGGAATAAACTTCAAATCAAGGTTACACCCCAGGGGGTAATCGTTGGAGCTCAGATGGTTCGGGTATACCATGAAATACCTAGCGACTTGTATCGAAATAAATGATCACTCTCCCGCCTTCTGGGTCATCTAAAGTGTCATAAACAGATATTTCCTTATCTTGCTCAATTCCCAGCCAAAAACACATTCCCTTGAAGCACATCAGGAACCTGTCTGGCCAAATCAAAGTAGTTTCAGCTTCTAAAGAAACGGTATCGAGCTCTTTCAAGAATCACAAGTGATGGTGTATACTACCGCTTTGTGTGAAGCAGTAAGTGTCATAATGTCATCCGACTCTTGAGTATAAGTAGTAAAGACCACAAATTTGTACTCGTTATATTTGGGATCATAGCCAAATCCAGGATGAAAACCAGTATCAATATGTTCTGGCCAATTGTAATCCTCCCACGGGTCCAAACCTAATCTGGGCCACAATGGAAGGCATGGCTCATCGGGAACACGAATGAATTCCTCATTTCCGGGATTGCATAAAACAAAGCTACCCTTACTATATAGTAAAACAATGCCATTGCAGTGGCCTATAATATGCAGTTGTTCCTGGACTCCGACCTTCTAAGTCAAAGAGTGAGGATAATATCCTGGACACCAACAAGAGAGTAGCTATTGCTATCCTCGTCATTGATATTATCACCGTCTTTGCATAAGTAAAGCAACAAGAATACTTGTTCAGTTTCCTCCTCCTCATGCTGCAGCTGCACTACTAATCTCTTGAAAAGGAGGTCGCGAGTGGTGAGGCTGTTGATGGTGAGTTGGAGAGTTTTTCAATGCGAAACTCGGATTGGTGTTGAGAGCATACCACCATTTAGAGACGCATTTGAATCGCATCAGAGTTTTGGGAGGCAGATTTGATAGGATTTCCACCAACATATATTGTCCCAGTTTTCATTTTGCTGCTGCAACACTACTCGGATTGGTGATGCGATCTCAGAATATACCGAATCTCACATACTCCAAATTTAGACGAGTTACAAAATTTAAGATTTGCATCATAAATCCGTGCACAAAGGCGATATTTGAGATCCAAATTCGAACCACATGAAACAAATTTCAAAACAGACGTTGAAATCGAAACCGAAACTGAAATTTCATAGAATTGAGAGTTGATTCATACCCGGCTTTCGAACCCTGTCACCAGCAACAAAACCCTGAAACCCAAGAACACAAAAACAAAGATAAACAGCAAAAAGCACTGAAATTTAGCATAATTTTCGCGTTCCTTATCTTCTTCGTGAAATGTCAGCGAGAGGGTTGGTATGGCGGCCACTTCAGAGCTCTGCCCCCGGTGAGTTTGCCAGCGCCGGGGTCGATTTTCCGACGAGTTTGCCAACATCATGAATTAAATATTACCGTCATCCCTTTGGTAATCACCCTGTCCATATGCAGGCCTGAATCTAGAAATTCCCTGAATCCAGAAGGCCATATGAGACAGGGCGATCACCAAGAGGAGGATGGTAATAGTAATATTTCTACGGCGGCTCCAGCCTCCAGACTCCGGTCAGGTCTGTGAAGTGAAGGTTGATGAATCACAGGGGCTACCGTGCTCCTTATAGGCTCTGTTACAACTAAAACCCTAGACGACGCCGACGGAAGAAAGGCGTAAGGCGAGGCGGTACTCCTCCCTCTACTCTTTCCCACTTCTATTTACTTTCACCCGAAAGCCCAATGGACCACTTATCCCAGCCCACATTAATTCGGCCCTTAAATGCAAGTATTTTGTCTCCCGATGCTGTTGCTTGTACTAGGGGTGGGTTCGGTTCCGTTCGGTTCGGTTTTTTGCCAAAACCGGAAACCGAACCGAAATTACTGTTCGGTTCAGTTTGTGTTCGGTTCGGTTTTTCTCGGTTCGGTTTCGGCCCGGTTCGGTTTTTTTTTTTTTTTTTTTTTTTTTTTCCTTCTTTTCTTCCAACTAGCTATAAATCCTTCAGTTAGTGTTGCCTTAGTTTTATCATTAGTTAGTGTGGTGTTGCCTTTGTTCTGTTCTTTTGTTTTTTTAAAGAAAAATCCAAAACTACATGTTTAATGTGTATTTTTCAAAATTTCTCAATGTATTGTTGTTAAAAGTCTGCAAGGCATATCATAAATGCTCCCTTAGATCAAAGACTGTTGCATCATTTGACACAAAGTACCAAGTTTTACATGCACACAAATAGTCTTTCCGTAAAAGTTTTATCAAAAATTTATTCATACCATCATACAGCAATTATCAATGACAACTTCCTCATATTTGATTTCAGGGTACTTCTCCGCAACCTCACGACAACACTGAAACAAAGACCAAACCAGTTTTGATATGAGCATACTTAGAAAAACAATCGAGAAGAATAAAATTTTTGCATGAACAATTGGCAGACCTTAAGAAAAAGACCATCAGTTTTCTGCATAATGTTTGCTTTGTGAATTGCAGAGACTCTCTCTCTTCCATGGGCCTTAGCATAATGAAAAGCATACTCAGCAACCCTCAAGCTTGCCTGACGGGTGATGATCTTGAGGCTCTCAACAACACCTCTCACCACCTACCACCAAATCAAAGAACTAAATCAAACTTTTGTACATAGAATATTTGACTATATTCATCCGCTTGTTCTTTAAACACTTACTTGATGCTCAAGTCCACTATACTCTCCCTCTGTATTTTCACGAATAGTGATAAGATCGACATTGTCATATCGAGTTTTGTAGCCAGGAAAGCTGTAACAAGGCCTGACATTTGCATACAAATTAAGTTCTTTCCTCAGAGTAAGGTTCAAGGAACGATGACCTTTCCCAATTGGTGTGGCCATTGGCCCTTTCAAGCCTACCCCATTTTTCCGCACCGACTCTAAACTTTCCCATGTTAGGAAACTCTGCGTTCTCGGATCTATTTCGGTGCCAACATAATGTTCCTCCCATTCAATTGGCACGTCAGCTTCTCTGAACACCTGCACCAGTGTAAATTGCAAACTGCATCAACCCTTCAAACCATAACAAAGTAAAATACAAACAAATTCCATTGCACACCGATGGTTATTCACACAAATCTGCAGAAGAACTCACACAAATCTGCAGAGTGCAGAGAACCAAAACAAGCATATGATATATCTTAGCCTACAGACAATTCAAATGATGAACATAATAAAAATCCTTACTTTAGTTACAATTTTACAAAATTAGGGTCTGTTTTCATAATTTCAAGCAATTGGATCTTTTCCCTCTTTGTTCTTTGGATTAAAATTTCACCAAAATTCAATACAATCATGTATTTTAAAAAAATGGAAGAAAAACCCTAATTTTAAACAAATTGAATGAAGACATGAATTGGGGGAAACAGATGGGTTTCAATCGAAGTTTTCAAACAAGAAATAATAGAGAATTTTTGAAGCACCTGAGTCACTTCTAATGATAACTCGCCTGACGCCCACTGCTAATTGTTGATGAGAGTGCTCTGACCTGTTTAAGACTCGAGCTTCCACTTCCAGTGCTCTGACCTGTTTAAGACTCGAGCTTTAGAGGTTTGGTTTGAATGTAGAGCAGAAAATAAAACGTGAGAGTCACTAACCTTTTGCTGGGAATGAGAATGGTCATAGCGACTCAGCGAGAGCTTGAGAGAGGATGAATTGGGAATGAGAATGGTCACAGTGAGCTTGAGCCTTGAGAGAGAATGAGATTGACAGAGTCTGAGAGAGAGATGAGGCTGAGAGAGGATGAAGAAGACCGAGAGCGGAAAGACTGAGAGTGAGAGCCTTGGGAAAACAGGCGAGGCGACAGGCGAGACCGAGAGCGGAGACGGAGAGACTGAGAGCGGATGAAGAAGAGTCGAAGACCCTAGGTTTTACGTTTTAGGTTACACTCGAGGTAAACGGTGGCGTTTTAGAATTAGGCATAAAACGACGTCGTTTTGAAGACTTCGGTTCGGTTCGGTTTCTGAACCCCAGAAACTGAAACCGAACCAGACACTATTCGGTTCGGTTTGGTTCAACTGATTCGGTTCGGTTTTTTTTTTTTTCGGTTTTTTCGGTTTCGGTCCGGTTTTTTTCGGTTTTCGGTTTTTCCAACCCACCCCTAGCTTGTACAGCATGATTCTTTCTTTCAAGCACATCTTTTTTTTATGTTGAGCGGTTGAAGCATTCGAAATTACCAAAAATGTTCCTTAATTTCCTTAACAATCTAAATTATAGAAAAAAAAAATCAAAAAATGAGGACAAATTAGTAAAAAAAAAAAAAAACATAACTAAACATAAAACCGTAGTAAAAACCAAAAAAATAAAAAAGAGAAGAAAAAGGTTACATGTTCAACCTCAAAGACGACGGAGAAAAAGCACAAACGAGTTAGCAATTTTCTTCCAAGGAATCCCACAAATCTGATCTCAATTTAATGTGAGATCCAATAGTAACTACTCACATACCATCAATATTTAGAGATGAATAATCGGAAGGCAACCAATTTTCATTTTCAACAGTCTTCTTATTAAGAGTTTCTCATCTTTTAGTTCATGTGGATATTACTTGGCATGCATGCACACTCTATATTTCTCACATTTTTTTTTCAATTTCGTAATGGAGTGGTGTGTTGTGTGCCTTCTTAGTTCGACAATTAGGATTTCAAGCTAATATTATTTTTATATCATTTGGATTCAAACTAATTAATTGATAGAAGAAAATAATTAACTCAACACATCTTAGATATGTCAATATGGTGAAGCTCTGAATATAAAGTTGAATTTGTATAAAGTAATGAATTAAAGTTGGATCTAAACAAAATAAAAAAATGAGGTAAAATTTTTAATTTGTTAACTTTTCCTACTTTGGCTAATTCATTGAAGTTTTTAGAGTTACTAAAAGTGCTTGCAAACAATATTCTCAAAGCATTATGATGATGTTGGTACAAAAAAATGATAAGTGCTTGGGTGCGTTTGTTGCACCAGATTAACTCAGACTGGACTAACTTTAGGGACTAAGCTGGACTGGCTTAGACTAGACTAAGCTGGACAAACTTAATGAAGCGTTTGATATAATATCGGATTAAGAACTAAAATAATAAAAATAATAATCTTTAATTCTATCTTTTACATTTTTTTTTCTTTTTCTTTTTTCTTTTACCTTTCTAGAACACCCTTTCTCTCTAGAATGCTCTCCATTTTTTTCTCCTTCCCGTCCAACTGCCTCTGTGTCTCTCTCTTTTGACTTTCTCCCTCATCACCAAATTCCATTCTTTTTCACCACTTTCTCCCTCATCATCAAATTCCATTTTTTTTCATTCATTCTCAACAAAAGCTTCTGATTTGTCATATGGGTTTTTTTTTCTGAATTTTTCACAAGCTTTTGAATTTCATTTGGGTTTTGGCAGATTGGTATTTTTTGTCTTCTGGGTTTTGGCTGGTATTGTGGAGTTTGCCGACGATGTCCCGGCGGATGAAGGTGATTGTCGAGAGCGATATTGGGAGTTGAGGAAGCCGAGGATTTGAGCAGAGGATAAGCACTGTCTTTCGACAGCGAGCTCGGCGATAAACTCGAGATGTGCACAGGAAAAGCAGATATGAGGTCTCTTGATTCTGGGTTCTGGGCAAGGAGAGAGGGAGAGAGTGAAACAGAGAGCGGAGAGAGGCAGTTCTTCGCTAGTCCCATGGCTTTCAGGGACTCCCGTTATGAACCTTTAGTGATGCCTTTAGTCTAGACAAGTCTGTGTTAGTCTCATTAATACTGGTCTCGCATGATATTAAAGATAAGACTGGACTAATAGTTAGTCCAGTCTAGTCTAGTGACATTTAGTGAGGGCAAACAAACGTCCCTTAAAGATAGAATTTTACTAAAAATTTTGACGTGCTCCTAGTAAAATGCTTATATACAAAAATGGCTTTTAGAAAAGAAAAGTGACAAACAGAAGTGGTTTGTAAAGTGCTTATCCCTTTTACAAAGTGTTTGGTTTTATTTATAAAATAGCACATAGACTTTGCTGGCTTGTTGGTATGGTAATGTTTACTAGCTAATGGTGGCTAACATATAAGTCAAGGGCTCATCTATTAACGTTTTACAAACAGCTTTGAAAAATGAAAAATTTATCACTTGCTTTACAAGGAACCACCATCAACCACATCAATATTTTCTATCAACTTGAATTTTCCTACATGCACAACACTTCATGTGGATATTTTATCACAAAATATTTTGATATAATTAGAAGAGGAAATCGCACAATATAAGTCATCTTTAATCTTGATAAATTTGATGTGAGATCCTTGTACTCTTCAACATGTAAAGGGATGGACTTCTTGCGGATATGGTAACATTCATCTCAATTGGAGTTATGGTATTTCTGAGTTGTTTGAGTTTGCTTACGAAAGAAATGTAGCTGACTTTGTTATGCCTAAAATTTGAATACCTGAAGGGAAAAAACCCACGATCTGGATTCTGAATTGGAAAATTTCTCGGGCGAACTTACGATTTGAGTGTAGGTCTCTTTCTCTCTCCTAAATTTGTTAGTTCTGTGATGGGTTTTTCTACCGGAATATGTTTTAAGTGAATTTATTGTTTGTTTGTTGCAAGTTGAAGTAGATTATTTTTTTTCAATTGCAGAGTTTTGTTTCTTCCTCTCCCATAATATTGTTTGTTTTCCACCGTCATGTGACGTGTTGATGACTTTTCACCGTCTTATTACGTGTTGGATGACTTTTCACCGTCATATTTAAAAAACATCATTTTAATACGGTGCATTTTTGCTCACCCACATTACCTTTGGTATATATTTATCATACACTTTATTATCTGTCATGTATCCTATCTTTTAACCTAGTAAACTTGTTAATTAAATATATCTTTTTCAATTTTTGAAACTAATTTTAAGCATTAAAATAAAAATAAAAATCCATAGCCCCCCCCCCCCCCCCCCCCCCAGTGTTTCAACTTCTCCATTCAGCAACCCCATGAACACCCACCCACCCACGGCCAAAGATTCGATGATGACGATGAGAATATTGTTTTTAACTTTTCTTCCACTGTGACTATATGATCGTCGACTCGATAATCGAAGACCATGCAACAACAGCCGGAGACAACCACGACAGCTGCACCATTGCAGCCATGAAATTCGATAGCGGCCTCACCTAAAGAACCAACCCTTTCTCTTTATTGGCGAGGACATTTCTGTGCTCATACACATTTGAATTTTTTTGCGATTTGGGATATATTTTCTTGGCGAGGACATTTGTTGAGTTTTCTTTATAAAATAAAGGGTTCATTAGACATTGGTCTTGAAAAATCATAATTTCTAAATATAAACCCACATATAATTAAACATCCAACAAAAACCCAAAAGTCAAATAAACTGCCACATAAGAATATAAGTAACCTACTAATACAAATTATTTACTATTTTTGCCACAACCCACACTTGAAAATTAGCTTCAATCAAGGGCCTTAAAATCTAATTAATCATCCTGACGTTTTTTCTATTTTTTTTTTTTTAATTTCTACAACAATCTAGTGCATTACTTTAAATAATGACTACATTATTATTCGGTGTAATTATTCTCCTTATATATAATAGTTAAGTGTCCCTACTTTACCTGTATAAATAATATCGCCCTATTGTCTATAATTTACCTACATTATATAAACAAAATATTCTCATATTTCTTTTGGCAATTTACCTGTGATATATGCAAATAATATTCTCATGTTTTGTTGGCATTTTCCCTAAATTATGCAAGTAGGTAAATTTCAATAATAGTAGGTAAATTATGCACACGTGATTTACCTACATTTTTTATGTGAGTCAGATATCTAGGTTGTATATGTAAATAATTTACCTATAGTTGGTTCTTTTCTTTTTCTTTGTCCTAAAATTAATTTACCTGCAATTTTTATCTCCTTTAATTTATATATTTTTACTTTGACAACAATTTTTTTTTATATATTTTGAAGTACAATAATTTACCTATATATAATATGGACACGTTGTAATGGTAAATTG